TTTAAAAAGATTCCCAGGTGATTCTAATGTGCAGCCAAGGTTGAGAACCACTGCTGTAGAGGCTTGCAGCCTAGAACAAAAGGCTATACCCGTGGTCGGCAAACTGCGGCTCGAGAGCCACATGCAGCTCTTTGGCCTCTTGAGTGTGGCTCTTCCACAAAATACCATGTGCGCACACGTACAGTGCGATTGAAACTTTGTGGCCCATGTGCAGAAGTCGGTATTTTGTGGAAGAGCCACACTAAGGGGCCAAAGAACCGCATGTGGCTCGCGAGCCGCGGTTTGCCGACCACTGGGCTATACCATAGAGCCCAGCTGTGTGGTAGGCATACCATCGGGATTTATGTGAGTGCACTCTATGATGTCAGCATGATGATGAAATCACCAGACAATGCATTTCTCAGAGTATACTCATCGCTAAGCGGTGCATGGCTGTAGGAACTTAATTTCAGGGGAACCCAAAATTTGGGATTCACCAGCTGATAGAATATATTTCTTAAATGGAGTGGCTGACATTAGAACATATGTGTATTTGGCAAGTAAGGTCATTAGAAGAAGAGAAAGAGGCAGAAAAGCTTGCCATCGACAACCACCATCTTTCAAAAACAGAAGGGCACGTTATTTATTGCCAACAATCAGAAATAAAATCATTCCAGGATAAAAGAGCCCTTTCTATTGAAAGAATCTAGATTTATGCAAAGTATATCCCCATGTCCTGTTTGTATCATTTTGCAGAGGACTGGTTAGATCGCACTGCGGCGAAGCAGTGTCCCACGCCTGGCACTTAGAAAACAGCCCCCCACCCCCATCTCTCCCAGAAAGGACAGTGCACAGAGGAAATGCATGGCTTTTGTCATTCAAGAATAGATCCGATGTTGTTGTTTTCAATGGTTTCCTGTGGAAGAAAAGTGTCCGGGTCTTCCTTAGGAAGAGTAAGGAAGAGAGAGAAAGAGAAAGCAATGCAAGCAGCAGAGAGACACAGATCTTCGTGGGAAAAGTGTTAAAAATGCCAGCTCCCACCTTTCCTTTGGTTACCCTGGAAGCAGCCAGCCAGCAATCTTATTAGAAGGCAAAGCAGTGAAGCTTGGAGCTGCCAAAGGCATAGACATTCGTTTAGAACTCAGGCTGAGTTAAAACGCTGGTATTATATCCAGGTTCTTGAGTTTTCTTTAGGGAAAGTCATTGTGAGAACAAGTAAGGAAAAGAGGTAGGTTTGTTTTCGATTTGAAGAGTATTTCTAAATGAATGGTTGGTTTGGTGTTTGTTAAAGGTTTATGTTTATCTATAATACATAAAGGAGACTGCTTCTAGAAGTCTCAACTCTGTGTAGAATTGGAGCATGAATGGAGTTTTTTTTAAGTTATTAATATGGAAATTCACAGTTATACATCTGAGTTGAATAGGGCCAATGAAATCATCTTGGATCGGAGGGAAAGCAGTTACCTGTTCTTCCCACCGATTTCCACCTGGTGGCAGTGTTTCCAGGTGTGAGATCTGCCAAGGAGAAGCATCAGCCTCAAAGCCCTGAACAGGTTCAACAGGAGTCAGGGGAGATCTTCGTGAAAACCTGTTCTTCACTCTGCCCCGTGCATAGTTCTAGTCTACTTGGAATTGAGGTGGATGCACGCTTAATGCATTGAATTAGCAGGTCATCACAACTCTGCTTCGAGAATAATTTTTTCTCACCACCCCCCACCCCCATCCCCCTCCAGATGGTGTTTTTTGGCTACATGGTCTTCAGCATCCTCTTTGGCCTCCTGGCTGACAGATATGGCCGCTGGAAGGTAGGTTGGCCTTGAAAGGTGATTTGCAATTTTCTTCTGTGTGTTGTTTTGTGGCCATGTCACCACTGCTTCTCTTTAGCGGACATTTCTCCATCAATACCCAAGATAGAAAGTGCAGAAATGCCCTCCTCTGACATTACTTGCCTGAATTCCAGGCCTATCTTCTCACTTGCTCATCTTTCCTGAGGCATCTGGCCCTGTACTAGGTCCCTATGGACCAGGTAGGGAGTTGGTGGATGTGCATAGGGAGAACATGTTAGAATGTGGAATCTGCACAGAGAAACATAGCAGCTTCACGTTAGTTAACTTTGAAACTGAACCACTTACTTATGGTCACACACATACTGGATTGAACATCAAGACAAATCTATGTCTTCTGATTACAAACCCAGGTCTCTCTTCTTTTCTTGTCGGTTTTCTCATGGGGATGCCTCTCAAAGCATAAACTCAAAGGGAGAGGCCCCAAAGCAGAGCAGTAACAGACTTGGCTGTATGCTTGGAAGTACACAAAACAAATATCATCAACTCTTACAATTTATATGAAAACACAAGTGTCTCGGGGGCTCTCTCTAAGGAGCACACCCACGGCTTTCTGCACCCCCTGCCCCAGGAGCATTTTCCTTGCCTCTTTTTCCTAAACTCCAAGGGCCCTTCTTTTGCCTCTGTAACTTGTTCCCTGAGCCCATGCAGCCCAGCTGGCTCACTTCTTCTACCTCTGTGACTTTCTAAATAATTTTTTTGTTGTTTTTGAAACATACACACACAACAACAACAACAAAACCCCTCACCAATATCTCAAAAAAAATGTAAAGAGCACAGAAAGGCATTTACAAAAGAAGTACAAATGGTTAAGAAACCTTGAAAAGCATTCAGTCACAGGAGTTATCAAAAGCAAAATTACGTAGTGTCAATGAAAAGAAAAGTGAATCTCTATAAACCTGAGAAAGAGTATTATTGGGGCCTTATTGAGGGCTATAGCCAAGAGCAAAGCTTCAAGAAGCCTGAAACTGCTCCACATTTGGAGAAGTGAGTGGTGCTCATAGAGGCAGAAAAGTAGGCAAAAGTACATCTGGCACCTCAGGAGTTCCAATTAGGGTGCGTACATCTCAGTATTTGACAGTTTTACATCAAATGGAAGGAATGCATCAGAAAGATAAGGTTGGGTCATCGTGGTGCCCCTGGAAAGAATGTATAGGAAAGATAAGGTGTGGTCTGGAAACAATTAAACTGCCTCGGAGCTGTTTGAGATGCATTTTTTTTTTTTTTGAAAAAAATATATTTTATTGATTTTTCACAGAGAGGAAGGGAGAGAGATAGAGAGTTAGAAACATCGATGAGAGAGAAACATCGACCAGCTGCCTCCTGCATATCTCCCACTGGAGATGTGCCCGCAACCCAGGTACATGCCCTTGACCGGAATCGAACCTGGGACCTTTCAGTCCGCAGGCCGACGCTCTATCCACTGAGCCAAACCGGTTTCGGCTTGAGATGCATTTTTATGTGGATATTGAAAGAACAATTTTCTGTAATCATTGGCCTTTAATTTTTGAAGTTCTGCAGAAGGTGTGGAGGCTGGCCCCCATGGTGTGTGCCTTCGCGAGGAATTTAAGGAGGCTCATGGTTCTCTCCTGGGTACTGATATAGACAGTACATCGTAAGCACCCATCTATATCCTCAAAAGCCAGATATAATTTTTTTCTTATCTAGTCTATTTCAAACATGAAATTCAGGAGGAATTTTTCTCTAAGAAACCTGCACGTGTATGGATGCCCTCACATACTATTGGTATAGTTTTTCTGACCATCAGTTTGGTTTGGCAGATCAAGAATCTTGAGAATACCCATCCTCCTCATCTGACAATTGTCAGTCCAGAAATCTAGCCTGTTTAGATCATTGTAGAACTGCAAAGATTTATGCACTTTCATCATCACAGTTCATTTTTATAGAAAATGTGAAATCACTTCAATATTCAATAACAGGGGAAAGGTTTATGCATTATATGTATTATATTACATCTTTCCAATGGAATATTTTACAGCCATTAAAAATATGTTTTCTGGCTCTGGCTGGGCAGCTCAGTTGGTTAGAATGTCATCTCAAGAAACCAAGGTTGTGGGTTCAATCTCCGGTCAGGGCACATACAAGAATCAACTAAGGAATACATAAATAACTGGAACAGCAAATCAATGTTCCTCTCTCTCAAAATCAATTAAACATTTTTCTAAGAAACAGGGAAAATTGGATAAAATCATGTTAAGAGTATTTTCTCTGGGTTGGAGAATTAAGGGTGATTTATTTTAAATAGTTTTTTAAAAATATATTTTTAATGATTTCAGAGGGAGAGATAGAAACATCAACGATGAGAGAGAACCATTGATAAGCTGCTGCCTGCATGCCCCACACTGGGGATTGAACCCACAACCCAGGCATGTGCCCTGACCAGGAATCAAACCGTGACTGACTGGTTCATAGGTCGATGCTCAACCACTGAGCCATGCCGGCCAGGCTCTTTTTCTTCCATATTTTCTACTATGAACTTGTGTTATTCTTACAATTAGAGAAAAAACAAATACCTTAATTTTTCTCCTTATACCCAATTCCCACACAATAATGCTTCCTGTGCTCCTGACATCCTTTTGAGCAGGGAGGGCACGTTTCTGCATTCTCAATGCAGTTGGGGAATTTCAGAGTGGCCTAAACTCAGAATTGTGAATGGGCCCTGGCTGGGTAGCTCAGTTGGTTAGAGCCGTGGTCGGCAAACTGTGGCTTGCAAGCCACATGTGGCTCTTTGGCCCCTTGAGTGTGACTCTTCCTAAGCCTTAGGAGTACCCTAATTAAGTTAATAACAATGTACCTACCTATATAGTTTAAGTTTAAAAAATTTGGCTCTCAAAAGACATTTCAATCGTTGTACTGTTGATATTTGGCTCTGTCGACTCATGAGTTTGCCGACAACTGGGTTAGAGCATTGTCCCGATACACCAAGGTTTTGGGTTCGATCTCCAGTCAGGGCACATACAAGAGTCAACCAATAAATACATCAATAAATGGAACAACAAATCTCTCTCTCTCTCTTTCTCTTTCTCTCTCTCCCCCCCCCTTCCTCCCTTTCTAAAATCAATATGTAAATTTGGAAAATAATTATTTAAAACAAAAAGAATTGTGAGTGAAATAGGGGCTCTACTAAATGTGACAAGTCCAGTGAGCAAAAGTAACCTCACAGGGTGATGTGATCATAAATTCCTCACTGGGTCAGTCATGGTGGGCAGTCATGCTCCCAGCCTTTAACTTCCTTAAGCAAGCCCTGTCCATTGTTCTTGGGCATCCAGGCACACCCCCTTGGAAATCCCAGAGCATCCTCTTTTCCAGATCCCTTGGAGACAGAGGCAAGTCATAGGCACTCTCAACGAGCACAGAACTATCCTGCAATCCAACCCTAGAGATTTCCCGCCTTGCTTTCTCCGACCTCAGTGGAATCTTCCTTAGGTTCCCGCCTTATTTCCAAATGTATGAAAGGAACCGCACCGCTGACATTCCCCAGAACATTTGCGATCTTGCTTCCCAGCAGATGTCATCAGTTTGCCTCAAATAAACTCATAAAAATTATCTGCAGGGTCCACGGAATGTCTGGGCTTTCGGACAATAGAATGTCACGGTTGGTATTTGATGATTGTAGGAGATCAGTGAGCTCGCTGTAGGCCAGCCCCTCAGAGGAGCAAACACCTGGATGGAAATTAAAAATTACCTTCGGAAGTGAGGGTCCCCCTATCTTCTATGGAGGCAGGTCCCATTAATGACTTTCTTTTTGTTGCTTCAGATTTTGCTCATCTCGTTCCTGTGGGGAGCCTACTTCTCCTTGCTGACCTCTTTCTCTCCCTCGTACATCTGGTTTGTCTTCCTGCGGACGATGGTGGGCTGTGGCGTGTCTGGCCATTCACAAGGGTAAAGACTTCACCTAGAGGACCCCTAGGGATGGATATGGAGATATATATCTATATCTATAGATAGATAGATAGATAGATAGATAGATAGATAGATAGATAGATATAGATATAGATATAGATATATAGATATAGATATATATCTCCATATCGATCCACACTGACACAGACACTGTGCTTAATAGAGTAATACTATCAATAAGTTGCAAATTTATCGACTTCACTTGTGCTAATTATTTTTGAACTTTTTGTTTTTAAGTGATGGCATCTTATTTTATTAGTTGCTATTGGCTCGTCAAAATGATGTTTGATGGTCAGGCTAGCAGACTGCTGGATTGAGTGTGTGTTAACTTTTTTGTTCCTAAGGTTGCTCATTTTTTAGATAAATTCTATTTTGTTAGACTAAATGCTCAACAAAGAGTGGCATATGAGTTCAGAAACAAAACTGACCACCCAAACACAGCCTATTCATTTCTTGAATTTGTTGGAAGAGTTTAGTTTGACCATAAGCACCTGGGACATTTAGGAATGACCATTTAAAAGTGCCATTGCCCTATAACTTAAGACTTTGTCAAATGAATTTGCAGAGCTGGGCGTGCGGTACTGAAAGATACCCTTGGATGAGTGTGCAGTATCCTGTGTGTGTGTGTGTGTGTGTGTGTGTGTGTGTGTGTGAAAGGGGTGATGCTAAATTTTCAGCAATTTGGGAGCCTCCCTTAAATTAACAGGGCCTCTCAGGCTATTCTCTCCTGGGTGCCTGGGAACAAGTGCCCTTAGAATATATTAGGAGACTACAAAGAACCTAATTGTTACCTTAATGTGTTAGGGAAGGAATTGTTCTTCCCTGGGGCATGAGTTAAACACCACTTGTGCTTCAGAGCCTGGAGGAGTAAAGTCAGTAAAATTTTAAAGCATCCCTCAGAGGACGCCCAATAAATGTGCACGTTAAAAACTAAGCCCTTGCTAATAACTGCAATAGAGAAGAACAATTAGAAAGCTGATGGGATATGAGTTCATATATTCTTCTATTCACAGAATGAAGACATACTTAATTAGAAACTGTGCTTTGACTGTCATTATTAGTCCAGGGAACTACCTGCTCTTAGTTGTATTTTAGTTTCCAAAGTATATTTTAGAAAAGCAAATCAGACTTGGGAAGACATATTTCCAACATTTCTCTCAGCAAAAGAGATTGGCTAATGCCTCTTAATAGTAAGAGGTAACTGAAAATTCAATAACTTTGACTTCCAATAATGTTGGGCATAAAAGTGTTCATATAGCATCAGGAATAAAAATGTAAAGAGAAGAGCAGTCTTTACGTTTAACTTCTTGTCTTCTTATGTGGATCTTAGCTGTATTAATCTAAAAATAAAAAGCCACAGTGACAGGCAACAAGTGCTCATTTGAGCCAAGAAAATAGGAATTCAGGAAGCACCGATCCCAGCAAAAGCCCAGGGTTCCGATCGGGAGCTGAAGGGGAAGGGGAATTGTTACGTGACTAGAAGGAAGGAAGGCATTTCTATGGCTGCAGATAGGCTAAGGAAGGCATTTCCACAGGTGCAGACAAGTTGACACGGTGACGAATTCTGAAGAATGACTTTAATGTTCTGCTTTCCTGTTATCTTTGCAAGCAGTTGTTTGGAACACAGTGCTGCTTCAGGCACAGTCCAAAGGTCATTTTGTCCATTTTTAACATTCCAGCGGTTTGGGAAGTAAGACATGCAGGTGGTTGTCTGGGATGTCAGCTCCGACTCCATTTTGTTTGTTTTTTTGTTTGTTATCAGAGATGATATTTTTTTCCATTGATTTTTAGAGAGAGTGGGAAGAAAGGAGGGAGGAAGGGAGGGAGAGAGAGAGAGAGAAACATCGATGTGAGAGAGACACATCAATTGGTTGACTCCCGCATGTGCCCCAACCAACAATCAGGTGTGTGCTCTTGACCGGGAATTGAACTCTCAGCCCTTGGGTGCACGGGCCAGTGCTCTAACCACTGAGCAGCAGAAGCCAGGACTCCGACTCTATTTGGAAGTGGCTTTGTTTGTGTTATTTTTTACAGCTTTAACAATTATATTTTGATGTATGATCGTCTAGGAAACTCTTCTGTTTTCCTTCAATGCTTGAACTCACTTATTCTGACAATACTTCACTTCTGACCCCAGCTGTGTGGATTTTCCCACACCAACACGTCTCTGGCGCCAGCTGGATGCCCTACAATCATTCTGACGCTAACCAGAGTTCGTGCGGTTCCCACAGATTAAAGGCCCAGTTCCACAAGACCCCCCACTTCGCACAGCACGTGCAAGTAGCAGGTCCCCAGCGTACCCACAGCTGCTGGCTGACTCGGCTGCGAACTGGAGGTTCCCGCAAACCCCTTCTCAGGTTTGAGAATTTGCTCGAGTGGCTGGCAGAACCCAGGAAAGCAGCTTACTTACTATCGCAAGGGGATTATTTATTACAAAGGCTATTTCATAGGATGCAAATGAACAGCCAGATGAAGACATACCCAGGACAGGGTCCTGGAGGGCCCCGAGTCCGGGAGCCTCCATCCCTGTGGAGCTGGGTGCCCCACCCTCCCGCACACGGCTGTGCTCAACAACCTGACAATCTCTGAACGCCACACTGCAGAGATTTTTATGGAGGCGCCACTGTGTCGGCGTGACTGAGGATGGACCCACTTGGGGGCAGCACTGAGCATTCCAACTCTCTAATCCTGGATTTGTCTTTCCAGTGGCCAGTGGCCAGCCCTCCTCGCAGAGCCTGAGAGCTCCTCAGCAGAACAAGCGACGGCCCTACTGAGGCAGGAAAGTGGAATAGGGAACAGAGGCCCGAGGCTCTCCCTCCCCTTCTCCCTTTTGGCTGGAACATCACCGACATGACCTTCACTGACCACCTGTTCCCCCTCCCCCTTCTCCCCTCCCCAATGTCCTGGTTGGAAGAACCAAAAGGAAATCACTATCCGGGGAGGAGAGACAAGGATGAGCCGCGAGACGGTCACCCCACCAGCGTCAGAAGCAGAGGACCACCCTTTCCCCACCTCGCCCGCGTTTAATAAAAACCTCCCACCCAGACGCCCCCGGGGTGTCTCATTCTCCAAGGTCACCACTCTCACTTCTCAAGCGAGTACTATCACTTGAGTAAATGCACTGCGCTTTGCCAAATCTCCCTGTCACGCTCTGGAATTCCTTCTTGTTCGGTGACAAGGACCTGGATCCGGTTGAGGCCTCCGTTGGGCCTCCCGGGTGCTGCCCGGCATCACTGTCACCCAGGACGTTACAGGGTTTTAGGAGCGTCCTCGGTGTCAGGGGCCCAAAGACGCACTCTTTGAGAACAATAGACACACGCCTTACCATTTCCCAAGGATGGATGTCCATGTTGTCTCAGTCTTTATCTCTGAGACAAGAAAAATGGTAACTGTTCAAATGAGTTATTTGGTTTTATAAAAAAAAAAATTATGTTTTCTCCCCTTCCTGTGTAGGCTGATCATAAAGACGGAATTTTTGCCCACGAAATACCGAGGCTACATGCTCCCCTTGTCCCAGGTAAGGTAAATGGGGACTCTCTCCTGCACCTAGAGAACACGGGGTTCCAGGTGTCCTTCTGGCTGGTTGACTGCTCTTAGAGCAGGTCCTCTCTCTGTGGCTCGGAATGCGGGGCGCAGAGGCCCCGTTCGGAGGTTTCCTGAGCCAGGACTCTGTCACCCGCATTTAGAGCACAGAATCCCCTTCCTCCCCAGCCGGAAACACTGCAATGGCTGATCTCATGGAGTGACAGGAGCCCAGGAACGCATCTGGAATGAACTTTCTCTAAGGATGGACATAGCCACCACCCCTTTTAGGGCATCTCACCTCCCTTCCCAGGATACTAGTGTCTGCAAGTCTGTCACTGACCCCTGCCTGTGGGACCAGGCCATGCTGCAACCTCCCTGACGAGCCATTTGTCCCAGGAGAGGATTGGGATGCTCTCCAGCCCCTCAGGCCCTGCCAGCCACTGATGAGAGGCCACGGCAACCTAGGTGCCCTGGTCCCGCCTTGGATGCCATCCTTGTCCAAAAGCGCTGACCTTTCAGAGGTCCCAGGAAGAAGACAGCAATAAAGTAGTAGGATACTGCTTTTAAATTACTTTGAATTTTTTCTGATACTAAATTTAGGTAAGAACAACAATAACAAATTAGAAACTTAACAAACAATAAATAATTCTTTACATTCCCCATCCCCCCCGCCCAGATTTCTTCCTCTGATCTTTGTTGAGGTGGACACACACATTTTTAATACTCGGGGGTTGGGGTTTACATTTAACATTATTTCATTGGTTGCTTCTTGCACCTGCCACTCAGTCCTTAGCATGCTTCCTGGTTATGTATTCTCCTTGCTTGTCTTATTTTCCAGGTCTCCTTGGGTCATCTAATTTACGCCAATGATTTTAGCTATCGATGTGCGTATGACCCCTCAAAATCTTTATCTACCACCAGGAGCACCTCCTTGAATTTCTGACCCAGGTGACCAGTTACCTGATAGCAACTTGAATATCCTACATGCTCCTCAAATACAACAGTCATAGAACTAATCTCTTCTTCTTCCTCTGAAGACTCTTATTTATTTTCAGTTAATAGCAAATCCTATCTCTTCAGTCATCTGAGCCACAAACTCAAGAACCATCCCTGGCCCCTCCCTCCCCCTCCCTTCCATCCAATGAATTACCAAGCCCTACTGGTCCGTCCCCTATAACGGGCCCTCAACCACAGTGCCCATCAGTCCTGTCCCCTTGACTTCCAAAATGTGTGTCATATCCATGAGTTAAACATTTTTTTGCCATCTCATTGTTAAAATCCTTTTCAATGCCACATCACCTGTCCCCTGGCCCACTGCAATGGTTTGTTACTGCCCTTCATACCCACTGTCTCTTCAGAAAGGTTGTCCCTAACTGATCACTCAAGTCTCCATCACATTACTATTATTTTTGTAACCTTGTCACTTTCAGAAATAATCTTGTTTGCATGTTTGTAGTAGAATTCCTTGGTGATAAAATAATCACCCCTAAGTAGTCCCTCAAGGAATCTTTTATGATATTATCCTCTCTCCATCTCTGTGAGGTGGAATGGAATTATCATTTATTCTCCATCTTCTAGAGTGGAAATAATGTTCAGGCTGAACATTCAGAATTATCCTAATTCCCGACCAATGGGGCCTGGTTGTAATTGGCGGCCATGTTACTCATTGATATAAAATGATCTCCAAGTTATATATTTAGTGTGACAAGCAAAGTGTAAGCATTAGTTATACTACGTGAACATTTGTGAAAAAAGAGAAGAGCACAACGCTATACTCTTATTAGCTTGTATATATTTAGAACAGCTTTGGGAATATGCAACAAACTGAACACAGGTCCTTTCCGAGGAGAGAAATTGGTGGCAGGGAAGGAGGAGAAGAAAACCTTTTTAGAGTGTTCCCCTTTGTACCCTGAGTTCTGAACCAGTGAATTATTTACTTGAAAAAATAAAAGCCAGTGTCTGGGGTCCCAGATCTTTAAAACTTTGGTGACGTTATTGACCCTCTGCCTATGGGTCCCCCCCCCCCCAGGCTATCAAACAAAGCCATGAGCAGTGAAGTCCCTGCCCCCAGTCAGCCAGGCCCTGAGGGGAACAGGAATGTGGGCTCCTCAGTCAAAGACCCTCTCTCCATCTCACCCTCTTCCATCGGTAAAATGCTGGACAGGGCCGCTCCTGAGGAGGAAGTCTGGAGCAGGTTTGAGAGGAGGGACTTCATCTTCCATTCTTGCCCCAGGTTTTCTGGCTCGCGGGCTCCCTGCTCATCATCGGCCTGGCCTCTGTGGTCATCCCCACCATCGGGTGGCGCTGGCTCATCCGCATCGCCTCCATTCCTGGCATCGTCCTCATCTTGGCCTTCAAGGTGAGGAAGCTCACTGGGTTCCCTCCCTCCCTCCCTCCAGGGGTCCAGTGGCCTTCTGGTCCCCTGCCCACCTCCTTCCTTTATTTAAGTATCCATCTCAGTAAGCTTGGTGGAAAGGGCTAATGTGCAAGGCCCTTCTGAAGGTGTGAACACACAGAATGTGTCTGGGGGAGAGCAGGTAGGCTGGGTGGCTGGGGTGAGGGGTGCTGGGGGAGGCGGGGGAGACAGGCCTGTCCAGCTTAGGAAGGGGCGCTGGGGGTGTGAGAGGGGTTCTGTGCTGGGAAGCTGGCTCAGGGCTGGGTGGAGCCCGGGCAGCAGAGGGCAGAAAGGCAGTTAGAAAGTGTCAGGACACTCCCGGTGGGCGATGAGGAGGAGCTGAGCTGCCCATTGGCTGCGGGAATGGGGAGCGAGGTGCTGCCTGGGGCCATGTTTTCCTGAGGAAGCACCAACAGCCTGGACTAGGTGTGAGGCACGAGGGGCAGGGAGCAGGCCGCGTTGATTCTCCAGGTCCCAGCTTCAGTGGAGACCTGTGCTGTTGCCGAGTGTGGTGCTCAAAGTACTAACCCATCAGGGGGGTATGGGCCTCGACATTCAGGAGGCCCTGTGGGTGCTGGAGGCGCCGTCTGCAGGGATCTGTTGCATGGTGGGGAGGTCTTAGGATTCCTGCAGAGGCCTGGGGTGGCAGAGCAGTGACGGGGCACTGGGGGCCTCGCGGAGGGGGTATTTACCAACTAGACAAGAATTTCATTGTATTAGCAAGTCTGCTGAGCCAAGTTGGTATGAAGTTTGGTGTCAGCCCGCTGTTGTCTAAGATGACACCCTGGTAAGGAGAATGCAACCTTTTTTGTTCCAAGTCAACCCGGGATGCAAGAGCGTGCCTGCGTGTTGTGTGCCTTTACGCTGGCCACACCCTCTCCGCCACTGGAAACTGGGATGGTGTAGTTAGTACATGGAGGTGACAGTCGTGTCCCTGGGCTCATAGCAGCTGCCGCTCTTCTGTTCTTTGTCATCTGTGCCCAGTTCATCCCTGAATCTGCTCGGTTCAATGTCTCCACCGGGAACACGCAGGCGGCCCTGGCTACGCTGCAACACATCGCCAGGATGAACCGCTCGGCCATGCCCGAGGGGCAGCTGGGGGAGCCCATCCTGGTGAGTGTGAGTGCCCAGAGGGAGGTCTTCTCCCCGCGTGGGGACCACCCGGAAATCCCCTTAGTCGTGTAAGGCCAGCGGGAAGGGGGCCGTAGCTCTCCAGTTCTGCCCCAGGAGGGAACAGCGACAATGGGTATAATAACACCTACCTTGCCGAGGTAGTCACAGGATTGGCATCATTTTTATAGGTGAGAGACTGATTTAATATTTAATTTTCTTGTACTGGCCTTGTCTTATTTTGATATCAAAGTTATAAACTTCATTAAATGATTTTAAAAAACACACCAAAATGTGGTGTTTAAATTCTACTGGTTCAGGGCTCTCAGGGAAATCTGCATTCATTCCACACACCAGCCCAGACCCCCGCTTCACCCCCTGCACCTCTCTGCCTTCTTCCCCTTCCTCACCTCTCTGCCTTCTTCACCTTCCTCACCTCTCTGCCTTCTTCACCTTCCTCACCTCTCTGCCTTCTTCACCTTCCTCACCTCTCTGCCTTCTTCACCTTCCTCACCTCTCTGCCTTCTTCCCCTTCCTCACCTCTCTGCCTTCTTCACCTTCCTCACCTCTCCCGCCTTCTTCACCTTCCTCATCACTCCCGCCTTCTTCACCTTCCTCACCTCTCTGCCTTCTTCACCTTCCTCATCTCTCCCACCTTCTTCACCTTCCTCACCTCTCCCGCCTTCTTCCCCTTCCTCACCTCTCCCGCCTTCTTCACCTTCCTCATCTCTCCCGCCTTCTTCACCTTCCTCACCTCTCTGCCTTCTTCACCTTCCTCACCTCTCCCACCTTCTTCACCTTCCTCACCTCTCTGCCTTCTTCCCCTTCCTCACCTCTCCCGCCTTCTTCACCTTCCTCACCTCTCCCACCTTCTTCAGCTGTCCCGCCACCTCAACAATAGTATCTTTAAGACAGAAATGAACCTCATTGAATGTTTGCTAAAACTTGCCTACAAGGCACTTACACCTAATATTTATTTTGAAGTGAGTGGTAGGGGAAAGTTAGGGGGTAGTCGAAGGAGAAGTCTTAAAATCTAATTTAAATTTGCATAAGGATTAGAGTCTACTTATGTTTAATACTTTTAATTGAGTCGATTTGGGTAATGCATATATTGTAGAAAATTGTTCGCTTCATCTAGGTTTTCAAATTTATTCATAGAAACTGTTCATAGTGTTCTCTTGTGAGTTTCCAAAAAAAAAATCTGTGTGAGATTTTTTTCAATTTTTAATATCGTTTGTGCCTTTCTCTTTTTTCTTGGTCTGTCTCAGTAGAGGTTTGTCTGTTTTATTAAACTTTAAAGAGCAAGATTGCTTTTGGTTGTGCTCTCTTTATTGATTTTTTGGTGGACTCATTAGTTTCTCCTCTTGATTTTGCTTTCTTCCTCGGCTTTTTATATTCTCCTAACTTTTAGATTCTTGAGCTCAGTACTTTGCTTATTTATTTTCAGTCATTTTTCATTTTAATCAACTATTTAGCTACATTTAGCAAGTTTTGTTACAGAGTAATTTTATTTTTACTTTGTAACTATTATGAGTTCTCTTTAACCAATGAGTTATCTGTTAATAATCTTTTTTAATTCTTTGTTTCTAGTGTAATTGCTTTTTTGTTCAGAGGATATTATCAATTGTTTGGGATTTATTGAGACTTTCCTTTTTTTCTCTATATAATGTTTTTAAATATATATAATTGATTTCAGAGAGGAAAGGAGAGGGAGATAGAAACATCAATGCTGAGAGAGAATCTTTGTTAGGTTGTCTCCTGCACCCCACACTGGGGATTGAGCCCACAACCTGGATATGTGCCCTGACCGGGAATCGAACCATTACCTCCTGGTTCATAGGTCGATGCTCAACCCCTGAGCCACACCAGCTGGGCTACATAGTGACTTTTTATTAATGTTCTGTGTGTACTTCAAAAGGATGTTTTCTTAAATCCTATATAATAAAACCCTAATATGTAAATCAACCAAACAGCAGAACAACCAGTTGCTATGATGCGCTCTGACCACCAGGGGGCAGACACTCAATGCAGGAGCTGCCCCCTGGTGGTCAGTGTGCTCCCACAGGGAGAGCGCTGCTCAGCCAGAAGCCGGGTTCACAGCTGGTGTGCGCAGTGGCGGTGGCGGGAGCCTCTTCTGCCTCCACTGCAGGCGGTGGTAAGGAGCGAGGGGTCCTGGACTCCGAGAGCCCCAGACTGCGAGAGGAATGTCTGACTGCCGGCTTAGGCCCAATCCCTGGGTGTTCCAGACTGCAAGAGGGCGCAGCCCAGGCCTCTAGTTAATAAAAAAGAAAAAAAATCCTGAGGTACTATTTGAAGAGTAGGTATTAGTAGGTATTGATCTACTATCTCTGTGTTACTCAGGCAGAGAGATAACACCCACCTTAGGAATGGGGATGGGTTGGATTGAAACAAGACTTAGTGTACTAGGGATGTGGAGAAGATATGGCTGACCTGCTTTTATTCACTTATTCTACAAATATTTATAAAAGCCTATTATGTGACAAACATTATGGTAGCTCTTGGGATATAAATAAATAAAACACATGCCTTTCCTGTCCCTAACAGAGAAAACCCACACATGTGCTCTCATTGACCATATATATATATTCTTCTGAGACCCCTTTCCTCAGCTTGTGGAGGCTGTCTTCTCCTGGTATCCTTATATCATCTTCTCTCTGTGTGTCTGTGTCCTGATCTCTTTTTATAAGGACATCAGTCACATTGGATTATGGTCCACCCTAATGACTTCCTTTTAACTTAATTACTTCGTTTAAGGCCTTATCTCTAGCTGTGGCCGGTGTGGGTGTCCTCCCATGCACCTACAGCCGATTGATATTTTGTGCTCCCATCGAGGTTTCTCTCTCCCCCTCTCCCTTCCTCTCTCTCTCTCTAAAAAAATAATTAATTTAAAAAAAGCCTTATCTCCAAATACAGTCACATTCTAGGGGTTAGAACTTCAACATAGACTTTGGGGGACACGAGTCCCATAACAACCACCGTCCTCCTCCACCCCCTCTATATTCTCAGTACTCTCCATCCTCCACCCCCTCTTACATCCCTCTCCTTTCTCCTCCCCACTCCTTCCTTCCGCATTCCTTCTGTGCCTCCAGCTCGTAGCCCATCCATCAAATGATCTTGTCCTCCTCACTCATCTGTGGTGCGAGGCTCTGTGGCTGCAGATACAAGCAGTAGAACCTGCCTTTTACAATCTGGTTAGAGAGAGGAGACTTACATGGGAAAGAGTCAATAACAACGGAGCCAAACACTTAGAACCAGGTGAGCTGTGCAGGTGACTGGGTGCATGTAGGATCCGGGCAGAGAGGAGACTGTGAGACACAGCAAGCCACCTTCAGGCATTGGTGGGGCATAAATGGAGCAATGAAAAGAGGGAAGAGGCCACCACAGGCAGGAGGAATGGTGTGAGCCGAGACCAGAGGCAGGGATGTGAGGTGGGTTTGGTCACGCGGCTGCTGTCAGAAGCCACGTGGAGGAGGCTGGGCAAGATGCCATGGGCTGTGGAGACTCGACAGCTTCACTCCAGACACTGAGATGAAAGGCCTTGGGTCTGTTTGAGGAAGGGCCACGCCATGGATGCGCTGGATGAGTCCACCCATTTGGATTGTAGCCAAGGGTTCCTCACCCAATAACTTTATTAGGATAAAACTTATGACTCATTGGGATACTATAAGACTAGCTTTTTGAATCTCCAACAAACTTGAGGAGGTAGGGGACCATAGTCATATCTAAACCAAGGGGAATAGCAGATAGTTAGATGGCCAGTGCTCAGGACTGGTGCTCTGGAGACCTGGATTCCAGGCTGGCTCTGCCTTCACACAGCTGTGTGATCTTGGGCAAGTCGCTTAACCTCTCTGGGCTACATAATCTGTGTTGGCCAAAGGGAAGATAGGCCTAGATCAGAGGTTTTCAGTGATGAGTAGCCAGAGCTCCAATATGTAAAGCTGATGGAGGTGAAGTGTCAGTTGCTTCACTCCACCCACAATAACCTCCAGGTCCCTGGAGCAAAAGACCTCTGAATTCCTTCAAGCTCTTTCTGTAGGCAGGTGTGGCTCAGTGGCTGAGTGTCGACCTAGGAACCGGGAGGTCACAGTTCGATTCCTGGTGGGGATGTGTGTGTGTGTGTGTGTGTGGGGGGGGGGGGGGCGGCCGATTGATAATTCTCTCTCATCATTCATGTTTCTATCTCTCTTTCCCTCTCCCTTCTTCCCTCTGAGATCAGAGAGAGAGAGAGAGAGAGAGAGAGAGAGAGCGAGCGAGCGAGAGCCCTAGCTGGTTTGGCTCAGTGGATAGAGTGTCGGCCCACAGACTGAAGGGTCCTGGGTTCGATTCCGGTAAAGGGCATGTACCTTGGTTGCAGGTTCCCTGGCCCTGGTCGGGGTACGTGCAGGAGGCAACCAATTGATGTGTCTTTCTCACATCGATGTTTTTCTCTGTCTCTCCCTCTCCTTTCCACTCTCCCTAAAAATTAATGGAAAAATATCCTCGGGTGAGGAGTAACAAAGAGAGAGAGAGAGAGAGAGAGAGAGAGAGAGAGAGAGAGAGAGAGAACAAAATCCTGGACTCCCGACCACACTCCTGGTCTCTCTCAAGAGTCCTGTGATGCCAGGTCTATTTGTGAGAGAAGAGTAATTGGTTTTAGCTGAGAACCCCCAAAGCTTTCCTAACTTTACATAAAATCCATGACTGTCAATAATACTCATCCTCACTTATTTGTATGCAAAAGTATTTAACAGGTACTGACTGTGGATAAGAACTTTTGCTAATTACCCTAAAGACACAAAAAGAAATCGGGTGTTCTACCCTCTTTTAAAATTTATGACTTTTTTCCTTATAAAAGCCCCAGACACTTTGTAAATGTTAGGTTTTTCATTTTAATGTTAATAATAAAGAATATCCCATCAGTTTTACGGTTGTTTTCATGTTTCCTCCTATTTTCTACCACACCCCTCGCCAGCTCCGGTGAGAAGAGGAGGAGAAAGTGTTAATCATAAATTCCACGAGTTCGGGTACCTGCCAATGAAAACAGTATGCAAAGTCTGATTGGCTGGGATGCATGTGTTAAAAATGATTATGGGTTTGGGTGGGCTGTGCTTATAGGAATTCAGTGGTTATTTCACCTCCCCACATCCCATGTTGTCCTTGTTTTAAAATATTTTATTCATATTTAATATCTAAAATATTAGCGGCATCTTTGCTTGTCCTTAACCCACTGAATCTATTCTGTTTCTCTCTTTTCACTACCCTAGGATAAAAGAGGAAGGTTTGCAGACCTGTTGGATGCTAAATATTTGCGGACCACATTACAGATCTGGGTCATATGGTAGGAATGTAGTTACTTCAGCCCTGGCTGATGGCTCATTGGTTGCAGTATCTTCTTGTGCACCAAAAGGTTGCGGGTTCGATTCCTGGTCAGGGCACATATAGAAGACAACCAACTGATGTTTCTCTCTCTCTCTTTTCCCCTCCCTCTCTCTGTCTCTCTCTAAAAAAAAAAATCAATTAAAAAACCTATCATAGGTTGAGGATTTTAAAAAGGTAATTATATCAAAATGAGTTTTATAGAAATCCTACTAAAGTAAATCCACTCTGAATGCTACTGGGGAGAAAAACACAAGAAAGATCCCAGCAATCTCTTATTTTTACTAATACCACCAACCAAAGAAGTAAGTAAAATAACAATTTAAAAGAAAGAGAGAAAGAAAAGAATCCTAATTGTCCACAGTTTTTTTTATTTTTTCATCTCAACATAGGACCTCACTTTCTAACCCTTTGAAGTCTGGTTCACCACTACAAATCCACCTACATGCCAAAGTTAAAGACTGACTGTACCAAGTGTTGGGTGGATGTAAGGTAACAGGAACCGTTGCATTCACTGCTGATTAGAGTTCAAGTTAGTACAACCACTTTGGAGAACTGTTTGGAAAAATCTATGACAGTTGAAAATATGCATATCCTATGGCTCAGCAATTCCCCTCCTAGGCTTATACCCAACAGAAGTGAATACATACATTCACCAAAAGACATTTACATGAATGTCCATCGAATTATTTTATTTGTCACAGGCCCAAACTACAAACAACCCACATGTCCATCAACGACATAATGGGTAAATTGTGTTAGATTCATAAAGTGAAATACTGTACAATAATGAAGATGAGAAAACCAGGAGTCAACACTCGACACAGCTGAATCTCACAAAGTAATAACGAGCAAAGGAAGCCAGATGCCCATAATACATATGCTGTGATCCCACTTATTTAAAGATAGAAAATAGGCAAAATGAATCCTTGGGATTTGAATTCAGGAAAATGGTCGTCTATCTGCCTTCTTCTGATATAATCATTATTAATAGGTTGCTATGTCTCCCCTTGACACTTTAAAAATTTTAAAATACTGTTAATATTTGGAAATCAGCCAAATTAAAGCGATCGACTTTAATAACAAGGGGAGACATTTTGACTGTTTTCTTTTTAAATATTTAATTATGAAAATTTCCAAACACACGCGTAAGTAGAGAGGATACCAGGATGAACTTGGATTCGCTCATCACCCAGATCTGACGGTCATGGATATTCACCCTTATTAGCCTCAGCTACATTCTCCTGTGCTGAAGTGTTTCCAAGCAAGCCCCAGGCTTCTGACATTTCATCCCCAGATATGTCATTAAGGCTCAACTACTTGAGGGCATTTTCTTAGATGTCTGCAATCCTATAATCACACTGACAAGAGTAATGATCTTCAGGTTACTATCATCCAACACCCAGAACATACATGGTTTCCGCTGATTGTCCCCACGTGTTTTTTTTCAGCTGGCTTTTGCAACCATTTCTGAAAAACCGGGAGGCTGATATTTTTTTTTTCTTGACTTTGATAGATGAACTTTTCTGTATGTTATTTTTATATCTCATCAAAGACATCTAGTAAAGAATGGAGAGAAAATATAAAGCAAACACAAAAACCATCTGTGGCTCATCATAACTTGTTAAAGACCCTTAGTAATAGGCAGAATTCTAAAGTGACCCCACGATGACCCCAACTCCTGCTGATGCAATCAAACACCAACTCCGGTGCTGATGTGAAGAGGCTGAGAAGATGTAATTAAGATCACGGGCCTTAACACAGGGAGATGATTCGGATTCGGCAGGTGGGCCCCATCGAATCACTTGCGTCCTTAAAAGTAGAGAAGTTTCTCCAGCTGGGCAGAGAGCTGGAGAAGAGAAAACAGAAGAGGCAGGAGGAGAGGACAGAGAGACTCGAAGCATGAGAAGGTCTCGGCCCCATGCTGCTGGCTTTGAAGACAGGGAGTGAGGGAAGCAGGCAGAAGCTGAGAACAACTGGTCCACAGCCAGCGAGGAAACAGGTATGAGTTCTCCGGCCCCTCGGGGCTGAATTCTGCCAACCGTCTGGGTGAGCTTGGAAAATGGATTCTCCCCCCCAGAAAGGCCTAGGACCCGCCTACGCTTGCACGTTTGCCTCTGAGACTTGGAGCAGAGCGTGAGCCAGACCCATAGCGCTTCTGACCTCCAGAACTGCGAGATGCTGGACGTGTGTTGTTTTAAGCCACAAAGTTATGCTAACTCGTTACAGCAGCGACAGAAAACGAATCTAGGCTTCCAACTCCTTCACCGGGCCTGTGGGTCCGGCTAACCCGGCTCCTCCTGCTCTTGCAAATCTGTTTCCACGGTGTGGCCTCCAACCCCCAGATATGTGAGCCGGGGGGTTTTCCCGGCCCCCCCACCCAACCTCCTACCCCCAGCCTTCCACCCGAAGCCCTCTCACGTCTCCCTGCAGCTCTTGGTGGCACCCGCTTTTCTCATGTCCATCTTTTCTCACTCCCAGGCTGGGCATCTCTTTCGCCTACTACGGGGTCATCCTGGCCAGCACCGAGCTTCTGGAGCGGGACCTGGTCTGTGGTTCGAGGTCCGAGTCCGAGGCGATGGTGAGCGTGGGCGTCTCAGAGGAGAGCCAGAGCCCCTGCTACTGCCACATGTTTGCCCCCTCCGACTACCGGACCATGATTATCAGCACCGTTGGTGAAATTGCCCGTAAGTGTCTCTACGTATCGAGCCTCTCTCTGTTTCGGGTCAGGGACAGGCAGCTCAGCCCAGAGGGGAGAAGTGTGACCCTCCGTAGACGTGGCTCCTGCCTGGCAGAACTGAGCATGATTCGGGATCGTGGGACCCCGCTGACAGCCGCCCGCCCGTGTGGTTCGGGGTGGGGAGAAGTCTGGAGGAGCCGAGCTTTGAATTACGAAATCCTGTCCATTTTAAGATGTATTTTTTTCTTCACATTTAAAAAAATATATTTTTTTTTTATTGATTTCAGAGAAGGGAGAGAGAGAAACATCAGTGATGAGAATCACTGATTGGCTGCCTCTTGCACACCACGCACAGGGCAGATGAGCCCAAACCTGGCCACGTGCCCTGACTGGGAATCGAACCGTGACCTCTGGTTCATAGGTCGACCACTAAGCCACGCTGGCCAGGCTTTCTTCACATTTTAACATCTCTGAAATTGGGATGCATCTTACAATGGCGTGTTAGATTTTAATTTGCAGTACTGTTTCTGTCTTAGTAGACATAAAATAATGGTAATAACGGTACTTAAATTTCAGTGACACCTTGAATTTGATGAAAAACCATATACATTTAAAATATAGGCCTAGCAAGTAGGCAATTTACAACACACCTACATGGTAAGCACCCTGGACATGAAAAAATCCTTGATACACACCAGTGTTTGTCATTCTTGGACCCACGTGGGGAAAGTATGTTGAAGGCTGATGACAGTGTGAGGGTCTCGGCTGGAACACGCACACAATTTGTGAAGCTGCTTCTTCCTGAAATGAGGAGGAACCCATGCCGCCCGCCCAAGGTTCCAGAAATGGTCTTTGTCGTTTGCTTTCTAGTGAATCCTCTGAACATCCTGGGCATTAATTTCCTGGGCAGACGGCTGAGCCTGTCTATCACCATGGGCTGCACAGCTTTATTCTTCCTTCTCCTCAATATTTGCACTTCAAGGTATTTTCTCTCGGGTTGCTTCAAAATAATCGAGTTTTTGCAGTGGTTTTAAGATGGTATCTTCTAACCCAGTGGTCGGCAAACTGTGGCTCGGCAAACTGTGGCTCGGCAAACCGCAGCTCGAGAGCCACATGTGGCTCTTTGGCCCCTTCAGTGTGGCTCTTCCACAAAATACCAACTTCTGCGCATGGGCCACGAAGTTTCAATTGCACTGTATGTGCGCGCTCGCACGTGGTATTTTGTGGAAGAGCCACACTGAAGGGGCCAAAGAGACTCATGTGGCTCGCGAGCCGCAGTTTGTCGACCATGGTTCTACCCATAGTGTTTATTGGGAGGTCAGGGTCAAGTCTCTTTCACCAGGAGAGTAGAGAATGGCTGCTTGTTTGTCTAGAACAGGGGTGGGCAAACTTTTTGACTCGAGGGCCACAATGGGTTCTTAAACTGGACCGGAGGGCCGGAACAAAAGCATGGATGGAGTGTTTGTGTGAACTAATATAAATTCAAAGTAAACATCATTACATAAAAGGGTACGGTCTTTTTTTTTTTTTTAGTTTTATTCATTTCAAACGGGCCGGATCCAGCCCGCGGGCTGTAGTTTGCCCACGTCTGGTCTAGAATGATCTTACCTGGCATCTATGCTGGCACCTCCCTCTTCCCACTGACCCGGCCCCTCTTCAGCTATCACAGGATATGGGTGCCACTATGGGACTACAGTGGGGCCTTGACTTACGAGTGTCCCAACTAACGAGTTTTTTGAGATACCAGCTGTCTCTCGGCTGATTTTTTGCATTGAGTTGATAGAGTAATTTGAGTTAATGAGCTCTTTAACGAGCGCCTTAACGAGCTCGGTCTCAGAACGAATTAAACTCGTAAGTCAAGGCCCCACTGTACTCACTTCACTCACCAACATATTTAGGATCTTTATATCAAGCTTCCTGGAGAAATGGGACTCTCGTTGTTAACAAATTATCCTGACTATAAGTCAAGATAGTTTAGTCATATATAACATAACATAAAACAACACATACCTGTGGTGTGAAAATTCATTTAACTTTTAATTTGCCGCCCCAGAGTGGCCTCAGTTATAATATAAACCACTTACTCTGCAAACTATCTTCACCATTTTAGGGGAGTGGGGGCCAGGCTAGAATGGCACACTTTGGGGAGTGGAGAGGTCAGGGAGCAGGATTGAAGGTTCAAGTCGGGCATCTGCTTTAGGACCCCTCACCGGGCAGCTGGTCATCTGTGGGTGGGTGAGGGCATCTGTAACACACTTGGCCGGGGCCATGGAAGACACTGCGCGTTGCCTTTGGTAACCTTTCTCTTGCTTCCTGTTCCCTAGTGCCGGCCTCATCGGCTTCCTCTTTATGCTGAGGGCTTTGGTGGCTGCCAACTTCAACACCATCTACATTTACACCGCTGAGGTTAGTTTGGGGAAGGGTTGGTTTCTTCAGGGGGTGTAAGCTGAGCTACTGAGAAAGGATGTCCATCCATAGGTAACGCATCCCTGGCTTCTGTTGACTTTTGATGATTTTCTAAAAACATCCCATTACAATGATGCCAGAAGGTTGATTTGATAGCGAGTTTCCCCTGCTCCCTGAGTCTAGTGCAAGCCAGTGTCTGAGAAGAAAGATAGGACCTCCTCCCTTCTCCCTAGATAGCATTCATGTAAGACACAACCCCCTGGCCTAGCACCATGCTTTCAGAGAATAGGGCCCTAGCTGCATGTTGCTGTTAAAATGTAGAACTCCCGATTTCCCTCTTTTTGAAATTGGGATGTATTTTTCACCTTTATTCCTTTGAAAGGTCACACCCCCTTCATCTGTCATTTGCTGCATGTAGCTTACATTGAAATTCAATAGTAATAGTCTTTCTGAATTTACTGAATTGATACACCTACTATATGCAAGGCCCTGCCTGAGGGAGCTAGAGGCTCCTCTCATTAACCCTCACTTTAAAGAGCTAATATCCCTAGAAATGAGCAGTTTCTGGGGAGGAAACTTAACTGGTTTTGTCCTTCAGTGAGCTGGAGAAAGAAGTGCTGTCGGGACTGGTAAACTGCCTTTGTCGCCATTGCTGGAAATGTGAATGCTGTTCAGATTACAGACGTGACGTGTCAGACATGAGAGCCACAGGGAAATATTCTCCCCACCCAGACAAAAATAGGAAATGATGAGATATTTGGCATATACAGACACTTCATTAATTCCATTAACAACATCTTCTAAAATGATTTTGTGAATTTAGAATCAGTGTGTAATATGCTCTGCTTCTAAAGCTATATTTGCAATGTTCAGATTAACATTTTGGAATGTTTTCATTTAAAGGTCCTTTCTAAGTATTTTTTTTTCTGATACTTATTTTAAAAATCATCTATTATTCTATCTCCAAGAATTGTCAAAACCTGAACAAAAGACTTTATTAATATTATATAGAGAAAACATCACCATGTATCCAAATCCGTTATTTTCAGGTCCAGTCGGCAGCCTCATTTTCTAGAAAAAGCAAGCAAGCTCCCCTGGGACCCCCCCCCCCCCCCGGGAAGATTATTGTCGACGGAGACTATTTTTTTTTTTTTTTTTTGTTCATTTTGGATTTTTGTTTTTCCCTTGACAGGGGGGGGGCTAAAAAAAAAGGCCTAAAAAAAAGACCGCCTCCTTTTTTTTATGAAAAATAAAAAAACTGTTTTTTGAGTGTTGTATAGTATTGAGAGAAAATTCTCCAGTTTTTAAAAACCACCCTTTTAAATATTCTCCCTATAATCTCATTTGTTACATAACATTTGCTTTCTTATTCAACTTTTGCCCCTTCCTATAAGAATTCTGAATTAAGTACAGTTTAATGAGGTTTTACTATAAATGTAAGAAAGTTGCAGAAAGAAAGTAGATTACGTCATAAGATTTTGCAGTGAGAACATAGTGAGGATGTAGCATGTATCTAGCACTGTCTCTTTTTTAAATATGTTTTTATTGATTTTAGAGAAAGGAAGGAGAGGGAGGGAGGGAAAGAGAAAGAGAGAGAGAGAGAGAGAGAGAGAGAGAGAGAGAGAGAGAGAGAAAGAGAAAAACAATGATGAGAGAGAAACATTGATAGACCTCCTCCTGCATGTACTCGAACCCACAACCTGGGCATGTGCCCTAACTGGGAATCGAACCAGTGACCTTTCAGATGGCACTGTTTCTTTAAGGTTTCATTGAATCACTACTTGGGAAATATTTTCCTTCAGTAGAACCACCCTTATGCATTTTAGCTCTAAAGTGGAAATCTATCTGATTCCAGAGCTTGCTTTTTTAAAATTATATTTTGAATATTCAATTAAACATATAGTTTGGCCCTAGCTGATTTGGCTCAGTAGATAGAGCATCGGCCTGCAGACTGAAGGGTTCCAGGTTTGATTCTGGTCAAGGGCACATGCCTGGGTTGTGGGCTCGATCCCAGTATGGGGTGTGCAGGAGGCAGCCAATAAATGATTCTCTCTTATCATTGATGTTTCTATCTCTTTCTCCCTCTCCCTTCCTCTCCGAAATCAATAAAAAGACATAAAAAAATACAGAGTTAGGAATTTGCTCACTTAAAGGATAATTTCTAAGTGCTTATTCTTTTTGTGATAGTTATAAAGTTTAAAAATTCAAAGTAGTGTACCTGAGAAAATGAATGTCTTCTATGTCCTATATAGAATATTTGGTATTTAATGTACAGGTGCAGACAAAAGTAGGTTTTCAGTTGTGAGTATGCTAACCTCAGTTTATTCTTGTATTATTAGTTATTAATTATTGTATTATTATTAGTAGTAGTATCCTTACTTATGATTTATCTTTGAGGTAATGAGGGCTGGTAATTTCCTGCTTTTGCCCACCCCTGTAGACACCAAAGCCTGACCCGGGGAGGGAAGGGCAGGCGAGAAGGAAGAGGCCTGGACTAACTGGTGCTCTGTGCTCTCCCTCCAGGTCTACCCCACCACCATGCGCGCTTTGGGGATGGGGACCAGCGGCTCTCTGTGTCGCATTGGAGCAATGGTGGCACCATTTATATCCCAGGTACACCCAGGAGTCTCTGCAGGCGGGTGGGCTTAAGGGAGGTGGGTAAAGAGGGACCGGGTCCCTTTGGGGTAAGGGTGTAACCAGGATTTCTGTTTACTCGAGGAGTTTTCTTGAGATGCCGTTGTTCACTGTTTGGTGAATTTGGATAGGGACGGAAGCTCAATACTGCCCAAGCTCCCACCAGTCCCATGCAGGTGTTGCATCGCGAGCAGGGTTTGGGTTTTGTTGGTGCTGTTGGGGGAGGATGCCGAAGAAATGGGTGATACTAGGGGCTTGTGCAGTTGGATGACAATGAGCTCTACCTGGGGTGCAATTGAACAACAGAGCCGAGGTGCTGGGAGGTGGCCTTGGACACGGGAGGTCCAGTGCTCAGGCAAATCAGACACAGGCTGGGGCAAATCCAGGTATAGAATAATAGGAGTTATGGGTTATATAGTCCAAGAAAGTAGAAAAGGGGAGATTTGATTACAAGTATTAAAGCCTCAACAAATGTAGACGGGACCAGTACAGGCCCCTTACCAGTAGATCAGGCACCGCCTTCCCACTTATTCTGGGAAATGGCAAGAAGTCAGGTGCCTTGCCGGGCATGCCTAGGTTCAGCGGAGTCAGGCCTGCGGGTCCTGCTATAGATGGTTGAGGTCCTTCCTGCATGTATGTATCCTTGGACTTCACCCCAAGTTTTGTGTTCTAGGCCCCTCTAGGCATGGCCGCGTAGCTGTGGGGACTATAGGGTCTGGGTAACACAAGTAAGACTGTTTTTCGTGGCCAGGCTTAACATGGTGCCACATCAAAAGAAACTCAGTCCAGCATCCTATCAAAGCACTGAAAACATTTTAAATCTTTACAAAAGCCCCTTAAAGGGGTGTCCATGGGGAAGTGCATTCGTAACTCCCAGCAAAACCTTTCAAAATCCTCTTTGCCTGCCTCACTCCTGTTGTCACCAATGGTGTGGCAGTCGCACCATCTCCAGTCTCATCCCCTCAATCTCATCACCCCTCAAAGTTCAAACTCTACCAAACGCCGCCTGAACTAGCTCTTCTCTGGCCCCTCCTACAGCCTTCCAGAGCTCTCGGCTGTCTCTTGAGCAGCTCTGTGCTGCTCCTCACTGAAATCATATAGCCTCTCAGGATTCAAAGAAAGCTGGATACACAGAGTCTCTTTGTTAGGAATCAGGGTTTCTTCACTTAAGAACCTATTGTGGTGACTCATTTGACAAGCTGTTTTTGGAGGAATTCCCTACAACTTCTAGATGCCCTCATACAGTTTGCCAGTTAGACCACCACAAAGGACTCAATTATAGAATAGAATTTCTTTTATCTCAGTTCTACATTCAATCAGCACTTCCTGCACACTTACCCTATGCCTGGCATCATTCTAGTTCTATTTATTTGTTAGTATCACGTGGTAATCTGGTTGCTGTCACATTGCAGCTTGAAATTAGCATGGTGGTAGTTGAGACCGAAGTATGAAGAGTTGACAACTTGTAAAGGGAAATAGCATTTCAAGTAGGATGGCAGCTGATACAAAGACCCAGAGATGGGACAGATATTGGTTGTTCCAGGAATAGGAACTGGCTTTGGTGAGCAAAGTGGAGGGACGTGCAGGGGAGAATGTCCCTTACAGATGTGTTGAGGACTTTGGATATTGTCCCTCAGGAGTAATGGGAAATAATTTAAGGGTTTTAAGTGGTGAGGGACACAATCAGTTTTGCATTTTAAAAGAATGCTCTGGTTGCTTATATAGATAGTGATTTGGGGGATGGGCAGCAGACAAGGGTGGAACAAGTTTATAATAAGACTCTTAATTTCACATCGCCATGTACTATTCACATGAAAAGGGAGATTTCAGAATTCTAGAAAAACCCTTTCTCTTATAGGGTAAAGATATAGGAAAAGACTATCTAAAAATTTTAAATTTCTGCACAGAAAAAAATTTATCATAGATAAGGATGAAAGACAAACCTTAATCTTTCAAGGGTCTCAAAAAAAAAACTCTAATTGAATCGTCACAGACGAGCTATGATTTTCTTGTCTTATCAAATACCTTTTCTCCAAAAGCATGAAAACCCAGTCCGTCAATGCAGAAGATGGTTCACAGAGCTTCACAAGTTAACGGGAAGGAATGATAACATTCAGTTTCTATTTCCATAAATAGACATAAACTTATTGAGGAACTGTACAGGGATAAACTTGGGAACTAGTTAAAGTGGTTAGGACAACTTTTGATCAGTAAATGTGCTGTCATAGGGAAAAGAGTCCAGTGTGAACTGAATTCAACTTTGATGTGTCCAGAGGTGACTGGTGTTTTAAAGAGAGGATGGGGAACTAGGATGGCAGGATCTGTAGAGTCAGGGAGGTGAGAAATTGCAGAAAGCAAGAAGGGAGCTTGGTCCATGCGAGACCCAGACAGGAGCCGTACATTCAGGTGTCCCTGGACAGACAGCAAATTCTTGTGGCAGCCCGAGTCATCTCCAGTAGGCACTTTAAGGGGGGCTAGAGTTATCCTAGGGATGTGGCCTTGAACTATTAGGAACTATGTTAGTGTTTATTCAAGTCTTTATAGACCAGGATTGAGGCCTAGGTGAGAAGAGGCTCAGAGGAGCCTGGCTAGTGTTAGGTCGCCGAAGGGGGAACGCATGAGGCCAGAATGGTGAGGGATCACGAATTTATTCGATCAAACGCACGCCAGGTGGCTGAGCCTGGATGGCTCCAGAACCCAGTGATGGGAGTCAGCGGTGTTTAAAGGACTTTTGGCGGGCTTTTTCTGGGCGGGGAATTCTCTGTGCAGGTCTGAAGGGGAGAGATAATGGAATGTGGTCTCAGCAAGTAAAGTGTGGTCTCAGCAAAAGGGAATGTCCGTAGTGAAATGCCCTGGAAAGTCAGTTCCTGGGGGGAGGGGTATCGATTCAATTGCTCGATCAAACCTAACAGCTAGGAGTCTTTGTCAATGTCAAGTGTGGTTCATAAATATGTTTGTGTTTATTGTATTTTCCGTGACTTAAGAGATTTCCAAAGGCAATTTTTTTCTACCATGCTGAAAACAAATAATTAAAACTAAAATGAAAATTTCACTACCTAATATTTTACTAGAGATAACAAATACAAACATTTTAATGAAGCTCTTTCAATATATTTAAGTACTAGTGCCCCGGTGCATGGATTTGTGCACATTGAAAAAAAATTAATAAGAAGGTGGCCAGCGGGGCAGGACTGGGTGAGACAGGCTGGAAACGCCCTGGAGCCAATCTCCCACAGTCCTTCCTGAAGCGGCGCTGGGGCTCGAAGGGTGCCTGCAGTGTGACCGGTGGGGTCCCTCAGCCTGGCCTGCAGGGATCAGGCTGAAACTGGCTCTCCAACATCCCCTGAGGGGTCTTGGATTGCAAGAGGGTGGTTCTCGGGTGACACACCCTGGAATCAGGCTCCCTCCTCGCTGGTTCTGGGGTGCGTCACCCGAGAACCATTGCTGCCAAGTCACCGCAGCTCAGCAGCTCCTGCGTTGAGCATCTGCCCCCTGGTGGTCAGTGTGAGTCATAGCTACCGGTCAGAGTGTCTGCCCCCTGATGGTCATTGTGCATCATAACTACTGGTCAGACTGTCGCTTAGCCTTTTATATATATAGATATGTATATATTTGCATATATATTTACCCAAATTTGATCATAGTTCATTAGTTCATATACTTTTAAAATTGAGATATAATTGACATTATATGACATTATATTACTTTCAGGTATACAACATAATGATTTGATATATATGTATTAACAGAATAATCACTTCAGTAAGTCTAGTTAACATCCATCACCACTCATTTTTCTTTTCTTGTGATGAGAATTTTAAGATTATCTTAGCAACTTTCAAGTATAGAATACTATATTGTTAACTATACTCATCATGCTGTATGTTATATCCCCAGGATTTGTTTATTTTATAACTGGAAGTTTGTATCTTTTCACACCCCCCTTACCCACTTTGCCGCCTTCCCCAAACTCCCCACCTCCAGCACCTCTTGTAACCCTCAGTTTGTTCTCCGTGTTTGAGTCTGTTTCTATTTCTCTCCTATGCAATTTGATGTGGTTTTTTCTCTTGTGCCTGATGTATAGGAGGTATTCAGCTAGCTTTGGGTTTTTTTCCAGAGGAAACTGTTGCATGTGTGACTGTAGGTTCAGTGTGTCAGGGGAGGAGGAGAGTTCTGAACCTTCATATACTTTCTATAGTTTGCTTTTTGCACTGAAAAATACATTGTAGACATTTTTTCATGTCAATAAATATTAAAAAATGCCTTTCAAAAGTTACCTTTCAATTCCTTTATCTGTTCCATTTTGAATATCTAGACTATTTCAGATACTTTTTTATTATAAACAACAGTAGTGAGCATCCTTGTGCTTACATTTTTTATGTTTCAGAGATGGAGAGAGAGAGATAGAAACATCCTCTCCTGGGAATCAAGCCCGAAATCCAGGCATGTGTCCTGACCAGGAATTGAACTGGTGACCTCCTGGTTCATGTGTTGACACTCAAACACTGAGCTACATCGGCTGGGCCTTGGGCCTTACATTTTCATCTAGCTATGCAGTTATCTCCTTTGGATATATTCCTAGAAATTGGATTGGTAGGTCAAAGAGTCCGTTCATTTTCCATTTTGGTATATTGTGCTAAAATTCCCTTTAGGAAGGTTGTACCAATGCCTAAGAGCCCCACTATTTCACATACTTGCCAACTGGTTTTGTTAGTCTTTTCATCTTTGCCAATCTCACTGTCCATAAATGGTATCTCTTTGTTATTATAATTAGTATTTCTTTGATAAGGAACGAACCTGAATTGTTCTTTTCATATTTTAATTGGGTGTTTCATGTTTTTTTTAGCTTGCCCATTCAGGTCCTTGCCTGTTTTTCAATTCAGTTTTTAAAACACTAACCTGTAAGAGTCCTTCATATACATAAAGGATTTTAACTATTTTTCTGTCATGTTGCAAATATTAACCCCTCCCAACTTTCC